CCACACACGTACGAACATCTGATCTTTGACAAAGAAGCTAAAAATATACAATGGAATAAAGAAAGCATCTTCAACAAATGGTGCTGGCATAATTGGAGACTGGCATGTAGAAGAATGCGGATCGATCCATGTTTATCGCCATGCACAAAACTTAAGTCCAAATGGATCAAAGACCTCAACATAAATCCAGCCACACTGAACCTCTTAGAAGAGAAAGTGGGTGGTACCCTTGAACGAACTGGTACAGGAGACAGCTTCCTGAACATAACATCAGTAGCACAGACAGTGAGATCAACAATTAATAAATGGGACCTACTGAAACTGAGAAGCTTCTGTAAGGCAAAGGACACAGCAAAACAAAAAGGCAGCCCACAGAATGGGAAAAAATATTCACTAATCCCACATCTGACAGAGGGTTGATCTCCAAAATTTACAAAGAACTCTAGAAGCAAGTCTCCAAAACAGCAAAGGACCCAATTAAGAAGTGGGCTGCAGAACTAAATAGAGAGTTTTCAATAAAGGAGTCTAAAATGGCTGAGAGGCACTTGAGAAAGTGCTCAACATCCTTAGCCATCCGGGAAATGCAAATCAAAGCAACTCTGAGATACCATCTCACTCCTGTCAGAATGGCTAAAATCAAAAACACCAATGACAATTTATGCTGGAGAGGATGTGGTGAAAGGGGGACACTCCTCCATTGCTGGTGGGAGTGCCAAATGGTTCAGCCACTTTGGAAAGCAGTCTGGAGATTCCTCAGAAAAATGGGAATAAACCTACCACAAGACCCAGCAACTGCACTCTTAGGCATATATCCAAAAGATGCCCATTCATATAACAAAGATGTCTGTTCCACTATGTTCATAGCAGCTTTATTTGTAATAGCCAGAACTTGGAAGCAACCTAGATGTCCCTCACCCGAAGAGTGGATAGAGAAAATGTGGTACATCTACACAATGGAGTACTATTCAGCAGAAAAAAATAATGGAATCATGAGATTCGCAGGCAAATGGATGACACTAGAAGAAACCATCCTGAGTGAGGTAACCCAGTCACAAAAAGAGAAACATGGCATGTACTCTCTCATATATGGATTTTAGTCATAGATCTGGGGAGTGCCAGCCTACAATCCTATGGCCAGAGAGTCTGGGAAACAGTAACTTCATTTACTGGCTGGTTAAGTACTGAGCTGAACTCAAGAAAGCCAATAACAGAGAGGGAGGACTGATGATCAAAGGGATTAAGACTGGGCTGGTTGAACCCCCAGAAACAGCTGACCAGACAAAGGTTAACTCTTGAATCCCAGGCATCAGCCTGGGAATCCAGCATGGGACTGATCAAGACCCCCCCGAATCTGGGTGTCAGTGAGGAGGCCTAGGTAATCTATTGAGCCTTGGACAGCAGATCAGTACCCATCCCAAGTATACACATGGTCTCTGGACTCCCATAGAACAATGTGAGTTGCACTCTCACCCTGAAGCCTTGGGGAAGGGTCTAGGCCCTGCACTATATGAAATGACAGACTATGGACACCCCCATGGAGGGCCTCACCCTCCCTGGGGGAATGAGGGGATAACGGGGGGGATGGGGGGAGGGCACGGGAGGAGGGGAGGGAAAGGGAGAGGGACCTCGTACTGACTTGTGAAGCAACCTTGTTTCTTATCTAAATTTAAAATGGAAAAAAATTATTAATAAAAAGAAAAAGAAAAGAAAAAAATAGTTAAGACTATTAATATTGTTTATCCTCACATGTGTAAGTATTTTAATATATAATCAATATGAATGCTGTAGAGTATATCTCAGTGGTAGAGCACTGGCCTAGTACACACAAAGCTCCAGATTCAATCTTCAGCACCTCAAAAAAGAGATATTTCACTGGTTTCATGTAATTACTTGATATCTGTTATGTATCATACATGTATAGCATATCACAATTTAGAAGCTATATAACTAGATGCCATAAAGTTTATACTTGTCAAGGTAAATTCTTATTTCCAAATTATTTTAAACATACTTGAAATTAACTGAGGGCTGCAATAAGTCAGTCAGTAAAACACTTGTCTCACAACTATGAGAACCTGAGTTCCATCCCCAGAAACAAACACCTTTAATCTCGCACTTGGGAGGCAGAGGCAGGCCCTGTGAATTTGAGGCCAGCCTGGTCTACAGAGCTAGCTCCAGGACAGGCAGGGCTGCACAGAGAAACCCTGTCTTGAAAACAAAAACAACAACAAAAAAGTCAGGCATGGTGGCTTACACTTGTAATTCTCATGCGGGAGGGAGAGAGACAGTCAGATTACTGGCTCTCTGCCATATCTGCTGAATTGCAGGCAAGTGAAAGTCCCTGTCTCAAAGAACAAAGTTGTTAATTCCTAAGGAAAGAGAGCTAAAGTCGTCCTTTGGCCTCCACACCATATACACACATGCATCTAAACACACCCACACAACACAATTTTAAAGTGAACTGAATCAAGTCTGTTAAAGTACAATTAAGTCAATTAAGTTTCTCAGCCACTCTAGCCACATTTCAACTGCTCAAGAGGTCCATGTGGCTAGCAGGCCGTGACCATATTTGGACAAAGGAAAATATAGTCTAAAGATTTGAGGTGGAGGCTGGCTGGATGACTGGGCAGTTAAGAGCACTTGTTGCTCTTGCAAAGGACCCAGGTTCTATTTCAAGCACCCAAACAGTGGTTCACAACCATCCTTAACTCCAGTTTCAGAGGATCTGACCCCTCATTTGACCTCTGAGGGTACCAAGCACATTGTAAGCAAGCAAAATACTTACACACATAAAATAATCTTTAAAAATTACAGAAATTAAGTAACTAAGTATTAGTTAAAATAATATGGTAAAATAAAGTAATAAATTATGTGAAAGGGAGAAAAATAAAGGCATTAAAAACAATAGGGAAAAAAATCACAGATATGACCATTATGTATGACAGATCTATTGATTTGTACCAATAAGTATATTCCTGATAAAACTACCATATAAATAAAAAGTTATTACAAAGAAAAACCAACTTTAGAGAAATACTTAAAGCAAAATAATTCAGAAAAACAAAATAAGAATGCAAACAGGAAGATAGGGAACTAGATCTCAACATCAAATAAGGCTGGAATCCAGACCAAAAAGCATTGAACTAGCTGCTAAAAGCAAAAATTTACCGTGAGGACATGACAGTTAATAAGCACTAAGGATCACATTAACAACATATGACAAAAACCTAAGACATATATGGGAGAATAGAATGAAATTTGAAGACTTTAAATTTTCTTATTTGATCAACAATAATTTCTGTGAGTTTTTAACAATATATAAAAATCCTAAATAACAATATGGTATATATATAATTCTGTAACCTGGGAAGAGAAAACAGCCTTATTTCTGCTGCTCAAGGAACACTCACAAGAAATGACCACACACAGTGCAAACATCAGAAAGTCAGAGAACCTAGAAAACATTCTACAATCATTCAACAAACTGAAAACAATTAATATACAGAATAAACCTACAATGGAAGTTTCAACACTCTCAAGCTAACCTTCATTAATAAAAGAATAAACATCTTCCAGGATATAGAAAAGATGGGGGTAAGGTTCAAATACACATATCAGCAGCTAAAGCACTGATTAGCCAGCCTTAAGCTTTAAGAACTGAAATAAAGTGGCTGGAGAAATTGCTCAGCAGTTAAGAGCATTGGCTGCTCTTCCAGAGGACCTAGGTTCAATTCCCAGCACCTACATAGTGGTTCACAACAGTCTGTAACTGCCATTCCAAGTGATCTGAATTCCCTTTCTGGCCTCTGTGTTCACCAGGCAAGCAAGGGGTGAACAAGCATACATGCAGGTAAAACATCTACATAAAATTAAAATAGAATTAAAAATAGAAAAAACCTGAAACAAAAGGCAATGGCAAAAAGAAACTAGTACTCAACTTGTTTTAAAAAAGAAAAGAAAAAGTACAAACCGATACAAGGATGTCAGAGACATATTAAAGTCTAGGTAAGCATGAACTGGAAGATCAAAGCCATGAAACGATTAAATAAATTTAACCAAATAAACCAGAAGAGGGTGGAAGCCAGACATGGTACCTCATGCCAGTAATTTCAGCACTCAAAAAGTTGAAACAAAGGAATCACTAAGCATCCAAGGCCAGTTTGACCTACATGGTGAGTTCTAGCAAAATAAAATTCTATCTAAAATAAAGGTTTGGGGAAGGGTCGAGAATAAAAATGAAAATCAAGAAATAAAGGAAAACTGTTAAGACACTACTATCAAAGCTACATGTAAACGTCACCAGCAATCCCAGCACTCAGAAGACCATGGAGGAGGACTGTGAGTTCAAGACTAGCCTGGAGTACAAAGTAAGACTGTGTCCTGTAGGAGGAAGTCTGATGCCGCCATTAAACATGTGACTTACTAAGTCTATGCCGCCATTAAACATGTGACTTACTAGAGGTGCATACAGATGAGGTAATAAAAGGGCGGTTTACCACACCGCTAACCACACCCACTTTAGGCAGGACTAAAGACGTATACGGCTGGACATAAAGACGTATACGTACGTAGGCGGAACTACGTCACTAGCCAAGCCCACTTTTGGGCATGGCTAGGGGCGTTACGGGGGAAGGCATAAAAGACAGGAAGAGCGCACAGGAAGTCTCACTCTCTCTTTTCCTGGAGTTCGGCTTCCGGTCCAGTTGCTAGCTGAGATCTGCTGGGCTTCTCGGGGTTTGGTATCTTGTGAGTAATTTTCTACATAAAATACTTAGTTTCACTTTCCGTAATTGTGTGTCGCATATCGTTACAGCGTCCGTAAAGCCAACAGTGTCCAAAATAAATAAACAAATAAACAAACAAACAAATAATCTGGGCATGGTGGCACATATCTTTAGTCCTAGCTCTTAAAAGGCAAAGGCAGGCAAACCTGAGTTTAAGTCAGCGTTGTCTACACAGAGACCCTGTCTCAATAAATAAATAAATAATTACAAAGCTCCAATTCAATGGTCACACAGACAGCTCTGGTTCAATTAAATGGAACATAAAAGCAAACCAAAAGTCATGAATCTAGGAAAGGGACTGTGGTGTGGGGGTTGATAGGGATGGGAGAAGGCAATAAGAATGTGTTATATACAGAGACCAATACCATAGATTCCCATGGAAGGTTTAATAGGAATATACCAAATCTTGAAAGAAAGTTAACTCAAAAGAATAGTGTTACTGGATAAAAAGTAAAAATTGTCTTTCTGAAACAAACCTAACTTTGATAAGTAAAGTAAACCTAACAGCCTGCATATGCAAACATATACAAATATAAATGACCCAAGAGTTCATCAAACTATCCCTTCTACTTTTATTTTTACAATCTTCCATAATGAAAAGCCAAGAAAAAGTTTCTATGTAAACATGATTTTCACCTATTAAGTGTGACAACCATGTAGCAAAAGTACAGGAAAACAGGCACTCTGTCTCAGAAACTTCCAGTAGGTAGACATCTCCTATGAAAAGGAATTTGCTCACAATTATCAAAAACTGCAAATGTGCATCCTTCCTGATGTAGCAAGGTCACCTTTAGGAATTTGTCTTCTATCTCTACTCAGACATGCGTGAAATTACAATGAACACAATTCACTGTAGTTCTTGTCATAGCAAAGACTAGAAACATCCCACAAGCCATCAACTGTGAGTTGTCTAATTATACTATGCCCATGTGAATTCTCAAAAGTCACAGAAAGGAAAAGAAAGTTTACATGTACATATAAGGTAAGTTCTTTTGTATTAAGTTTAAAAAGCAATACAAATTAAAGTATAAGCTGCAACTTATACAAAGATTGCAAGACTAGTTAACAGAAGTTTTTTTTAAAGCCTTTTCTGCCTTGGTCCTTTTGCATTTTTTAAATCTGGAACCATGTAACTGTCACTGTGAGCTGAAAAGGAACATATAATGATATCTGTTGTCTGGTTTTATAAAATCCTGCACTTGGAAATGATACTCCATTTAGAATACTTGTTATTCTTGAAGATAGAATTTCCAGTAAAGATATAAGTCAATAAATTCTTACTTTAAAAAGTTTAAACAAATACTCCACACAGATGAAAGGGGGACAGCAGATCAGTCAGAAGTGCAACTTGGTTAAGTTTTTAACCCAGATGATACTTTACAATGACCCTGGGGTCTTCTAAAAATACCGGTGCCCTCCATCCCACCTGTACACAACTAACACCAGAAATTCAGAGCATGAGGCCCTGGCCCCAAACCACTGACCTCAACGCTTTTAAAATGGTGAACATTTATTTCTAGATATTCCCCCTATAAATTATCAACCACAACACTATTCCCTACTGTAACTTTCCTACTCAAATAACATCCTTGCCAAGATGCATATTAACATGGGAGATACTAGTTGCCAGAGAAGTAAATTAACTGCAATTTCAGGCACACTATACCAACTATCACAAACACTGAATGTGGGAGTGACCAAGATTCCTTGTGTTCTTTTTACTGAGAATTTGTCTCAATTTACCCTAACAAAGGTTTCCTATGTTCACAATAATCTCTATACCCTTGTTGGGGAAGTTATTTGTCAATAAAGTACTGTTGAGCCTATAGAAAACCTAGATAGGAGGGACTAGGAGTCGAGGAGGATTCTGGGAAAGAGAAAGACAAGAGAGTTCGAGATGTAACCGCCATTGGGGTAGGAAGCCTGGAAACCTCTCCGGTAAGAGACATACTTAGATTAACAATTATGGGGTAATTACTTAAGTCAGAGCTAGCCAGTTAGAAACAAGAAAGGCCAACAGCTTCATAATGAATATAGCCTCCTGTGTGTTTATTTGGGACTGATGCGGATTTGGAACCAGGCGGGCGAGAAGGCTCCTCTCAAGGAAAGCTTCTCTTAACATAATGGTGATCAGGAGTGGGATCATGAATTTCCACGCAGAATGACAAAAGCTTTAAAGGAATTTTAGAAACAGAAGAACGGAGAGAAGCACAGATTTTGGTAGCAGCATTTTCCTCAGGTGTGCTCTGTTTTGCTAGCGACAAGCCGAGATTCACGTGGCTCGCTTACTGGAGTCTTCCTGACTCGGCATAAAAAGAAAAAGAAAAAGAAAAAGAAAAAGAAAAAGAAAAAGAAAAAGAAAAAAAAAAGAAAAAGAAAAAAACCAACAAGGTTGTTTTAAGAGACTCTGCTAACGATTGAAAGGTGTGTACGTACAGCTGGAAGTGGCAGCTTTTGCTGGATGTCAGCATGGACTGAGGCGGTAAGCTGGAGTCATGCTTACGCCCGCCATCTTGACGGAAAAACCGGCAGTTTAAAACAGCCGTGGTTTTACAGATAAGACACGTGGTCAGAAAAACATAAAGATTTACAGTAAAGTCAGACTTGGATGAAGAAAATCTCTAAACGTTTACAGTGTGTTTTAAAATATATGTGAAATTGAGAGAGAAAATGAAACGGCAAAGTGGTAAATAAATACAAAAGCTGGCGTTGTGGTGGCGCACGCCAGTAGGAATTGCTCCAGAGGCAGAGGCAGGCAGATTTCCAAAGAGAAACCCTATCTCAGAGAAAAAGAAATAAAAGTGAAAGAAATAAAGTAATAATAAATAAATAAGCCACACAAAGATGGAAAATACACAGAGAGTCTGGATACTGTACACTATTGTGTTTTTCAGTTTTTTGCTTGCTCAGGAAGGAACTGCTGCTAAAGTACACTTGATTATAAATGCTGCTGAATTAATCCAACTTCTATCTTTTGAAAATGCCTTGACCTCAAAATTTAAGGATATGTTACTCGGAAAAGGAGTTTTAATTTATGTTTCCACAGAACATAAAAAGCTGAGGATTTCTTCCAGACTTCTGTGGTTTGACGAACCAAGACCCCCAGAAGCAGTGGACCAGATGTTCCAACAATTGAAACAGCTAAGATGATGCAGTTTTACAGGCCCAGAAAATACGGACTGATACAGGTTTCTGTGTTTTGTCATGATCCCCATGGTATGAACAGTGCCCCCTTCCAGCAGGAAGCAGTTTGGAATGAGCGACGTCCCAATTCCCATCTTGTTTATAAATCTTTGTTTTCATTTAAATGGGATTGTTTATAATTGGCTAGTGATCACAGCCAATCTTTTTTAATGGTAAAAAGGGGAATTATGGCATGGGTATTGTTTTTCATTTATTGATACAAATTCAAGGTCAATTTTGTGATGTGTTTATTTCTCCTCTTGACTAAGTATTGTGCTTATACTGATCTTTTACAATGTAATGCATAATTGAATACAGACTATAGATAGTTACTTATAATAGAATTTCTAGTTACATAAGTTAGGTGTTCTAGATATACAGAAATATATTTGAGATAGATAGACAGTCTTCAAACCTCTCAAAGACCTTCAGAACATGGCATTTAAAATGGTTTAGGGTTTTTCTTGACAATGAGAAATGTCTGCTCCTGGCAGCACCAATTACATCTGAGAGGAAGATGGGCATCGAAGAAACTTGTTATGGAGTTTGCTTTCAACATGGCAATATTAGCCATTTGGGCAAGAAACTGCTCTTGCCTAGACTGTTTGACTCTTGTTGTATAATCCGGACATGCAGGACCCACAGAAAAGTGACTGCTGAACTCAGTCTTACAGGGTTCCTGCTTCATGGAAGAGTCTAGGAGACGTTCTGCAGGACAAAGAAAAATGACTGACAGACTGCCAATGCAGATGGACAGTTTGAAATTTCCTGCTTTGCTGAGAAGTGTTCCAGACACATTGTGGCCTATGGGCTGAAGATGGATGCCCCAACGTTACAGAGGAACTTCGGGTGACTGTCCAGGCAGTAAGATATCTCTGTCAATCCTAGTGTTTATATATTATCCTTCTGTGGTCTTTGATAGAGTTGAAGACAGATAGTTATAATTATAGTTTTCCTTAGTTATGATAAGAGATAAGCTACATATAGAACTTTAGACTCACAAGAATGGGATAGATGATATTTTCTTTAGATCTTGCTAAATGTTAATAGACAAAATGTTGTAATTGTGTTCTTACTTGATAACTGTTCTGTCATATACAATTTGACTATGTTAAAGTTAAGACCTTTCTTTTTGTTTAAACAGAAAAGAGGAGATGTTGGGGAAGTCTTATGTCAATAAAGTACTGTTGAGCCTATAGGGAACCAAGATGGGAGGGACTAGGAGTCCAGGAGAACTCTGGGTAGGAGAAACACAAGAGGGTCGACATGTAGCCGCATGGGGTGGGAAGCCCGGGACTATTCTCCGGTAAGAGACATACTTAGATTAACAATTATGGGGTAATTACTTAAAGCAGAGCTAGCCAGTAAGAGACAAGCAAGGCCAACAGCTTCATAATTAAGATAGCCTCCTGTGTGTTTATTTGGGACTCATGCGGATCTAGAACCAGGCTGGCGCGGCAGAGCCCAGGCGACTGGCGGGGGATAACCAAAGCGGCTAGCAAGGAAAAAGCTTCTCTTAACATACCCTAAATTAGAAAAACATACCTACTTATAGCAATAGCAACATTTTCATTCTAAGCTGTTAAGTCAGGACCTGCCTCAAACCTCTAAAACTTTACAAGCAGGGTGGGGCTAGAAAGTGCAGCGAGTAAAGGCATTTTCTGCCAAGCCTGACCACCAGAGTTTGATCTCTGGGACCCACACAGTAGGAGAGAACTAACTCCAAGTTGTCCTCTGACCTCTACAGCCACACCATGACACGTGTAACCACACAAACCCAAATATATACACAAATAAAATGTTTAAGAATAAAATTTACAAGTAGCAAGAAAGAGGCAGAGAGAGTAGGGTTCAACTACTGAAAAGCTTTTGAAAATGAAACTTAGGATTTAAAGACCAACTTCTGCCTCATCTTAGACCATCATCTAACTTTGGCAGCTTGATTTCTAAAATGTAATTTGGCATCGCCTTAAATGTTTAACCTAAACCTCTCTTTCTATCCTGTATGTTTCCCCCAATTATAGACAACATCACATTCTGTATAGCTGGTCTTCCCAGAAGGTTCTACCAATTTTTCACTTTTTATACACAACTGACACCATCCCATGACATTTTTAAGTCAAAAGATTTAAACAGAGCTTGGCTTTGAGAGCCTAAGTCACCTTGATTTTCCTTCGGCAATGCTGAGTTCCATTTTTGTTTTATTTTCAGGTGTTTCACAACCGCATTCAGCCTGCTGGCGTTGGAATGGCATCCTCTGGGGAAACAGGATTGATTAGTTAATGGAAGGTGGTGGAATCTATTCCCATCTAAGTTAGGCCTCAGACTTTATTTGGGTCCTCTCCCTTCTCACCCCAACCCATGTAAACCAAGTACTAGCTCAGCTGCCAACAGAGTGCCAGGGACACCAAGCAAAGGTGCTCACCCTTAGGCTGGAGCTGTCCTAGAACCCCTGCTCTGTGGCCAGGAGCCCACAGGTCAGCTCTTGCCCAACATCTAAGGCATTTGCAGGCCACGACTGAGACTGTTCTAAGTCCTGCCACTCCAGGCAACCCAACACCTCACAGCAGAAGAGGAACAAAATGCCACTGCAGGATTTACTCAACCTCAAGGTGTTACTAAACACTTCTTCCCAACCATTAAAAACTCTAAAAATAAAAACATTTAAGAGATCTTTCTGAAGTTTTCCGGACAGGGCGGTTTGAGTCAAGTTAGATCTAAGGAAAGGTTGGACGGCTGAGGAGTTTCAACTGGGATGAGAGTCCCTGGAGGAAGCTGGGTGTGTGGGTGTCAGGCCCTGCCCTCCACCTCCTGAAACCCGAAACCTCAAACTCCAGGAGCTTCCCAAGCTTGTATCCCCATCACCCGCCAGGCGGTTCCCATGGATTTTGCATTGAGGCTGAAGAGCCCAGCAGGCTGGAGGGAGGGAATGGCGACTCCCTCACTCCCTCGGGCCTTGGGGGCGGCTGGCCCCAAGGCGTCACACTCACCGAAGTCCAGGAACTGTTTGAATGACAGCGGCGACGGAGAGAAGCAGGAGTAGCGCTCGATCTGTTTGGGGACCGGCTGCTTGAGCAGCCGAAAGAAGAGCCGCATCCTCACCCAGGCAATGCGCAGAACCGCCAAGACGTCGCAGACTGCTGCAGGGGCCGGCAGCGCCTGGGGAGGTTCACCTCCACCTGGGGCTCGGCCTTGGCGCCAGCAGCGCAGTCGCTGCCTCAGCACCTAAACAAGCTCCAGAGGCAGTAAGGCTGCTGTGGCCCGCTGCCCGCGGGTTCTTGAGCTCCGCCCAGAAGAGGCGGGGCCTGCCGCCGCACGTACGCGGCGCTCGTGGGCTCTGAGGGGCACGGGGGGCACGCGCACGCCGCTGATTGGCTGCCGCCGCCGCCAAAACTTTCTTAAAGCCCCGGTAACACGCCCAAACCTCCCGCCCTCGCTCGCTCATGCATCTTACCCGGTTCTCCGCAAACCTGGCTGATGTCTTTCCCTCCCTGGATCTGGTCTTCCAAGACCAAAAGGTACTTGGAGACCTGGAGGACGCTGGGAGCCCACGCCCTGAAACACGATATTTAGCGCAGCCCTAGACCTTTCGAACCCCAGGCCCCTCTCCTGGAAGGCCTCCTCGGATCAGCTGACTGCTCGGCTTTAAGTTGTTCCTTGCAGTCCAATGCTTTTTCAAATTCTTTTCCTCTTAACTACATGGTTTGTTTCATTCCCTCCAACAATACTGGTACCTTAGCACAGAATTAAATGGAAGTAACTGCTTTGCTCCCTGCTCCCCAGTCTCCCCACCCCCAGCTACTGGTCAGGACCTCTGCTCCCTGTCTGCCCACCTTCACACTAGTGAATACATTTGGACTGATTGTTACCAAAACAAGGATTGTTACGTCACTGGCTGCAGTTCCCCGCCCTATACGTCTAATTACCACTTTAAGCCAATAACTGAGCAAGATTCTTAGGTCACTAACTCTATTCATGCCACTCTCCCTACTACCACCATTGGAGGAATCCATTACAAATAAAGGTCATTAACACTCGATGTCCATGTTTCCTAAATCCTCTCACCCCAAAACGGTTTGATGGGATTAATCATATTTCATTGCCCCGTCCCACCCCCACATACACATCCATTGGAAAGGTTCAAATTAGAGCTACTAATGATTCTTTCACAATTTCTCACCACCATAGAACCCTGACACAGTTTCACCACTATTTGGGGGCAGGTATCTGCTATGTTTACACTGCTGGATTTTCTTTGCATGATAGTGAACTTGAATTCATGGCTCAGCATATAAAATCTGTATTTCCTAGTGGCTATATGAAATACTGCTGGCTTTAACCATTACCACCAAACATTGACTTAATTTTTGATAACATGTAAACATCAGCTACAAAAAAAGATTAAAAAAAACTTTCTTCTTAATCTGATTATTAGTGTTGTGGTGGAAGTTCTACCCAAGCCCCCATCCCTGTAAACCCTGCTGCATCTCAGAAAGTCTGCCAAATGATGACCCCTTCCCCAGAGACGCTCAAGACCACTCCCACAGGGTATTTAAACTGCCCTTCAGAAACCAGACTCGTAGTTTTCCAGTCTCCCTTTCCTGTCTCCTCTGTAAAGAGTGTCCGAGTCCTGAAAATTGGAAAAATGTGAAAGAAGCCTGTATGATGGAAACTGGTGCTGGTTCATGGCTCAGTGACTCAGCCCTTAACTTGACCCTATCATAAGCATGCTGTGTGACCTAAGACTGGTCTCCTAGCCTTTCTGTCTCTCGGTTATTTTAAAGTCAGGTGGAGATGTATGGATTCTCTCCCTAGTATTTGTGACAATTAAATAAAACAAATCACATCTAATACAAATATAAGACACTTTTGTACATGATAACAGTTAATCTAGAAACTAAACCAGTTGATTTCAGTGGTGGTTAGATCTCTTAAGTTTGAATCATCTCAAAGTTTTTCCAGCTTGTTGTGCACAATAAGGTCTTACACAAGCTCTCCGTGGTTCTTAATGAAATCTCTAGCCCATTCACAGCAGCAGCACCTGGAAGCTTGTTAAAAATGCAAATTTTTGGATTCTATCACTGTATTACTGAAACCATCACCTCGTAGGTGAGGCTTAAGGACTCACCCACAAATTCTTTGATACTCCTGTCTTCAACAGATACAGCTCAATCCTCCTCCCCTGCAGTGGGCTAGATTTTGCAGTAGCTTCTAACAAGTAGATTATGGTCAGAAGTGATGAGATTACACTTCGTGGTTAGGTTAGAAAACTACTAGGTCCCACAAAATACCTGACCAGCATGCCTCAAAACTTCAAGGTCATTAAAAGCAAGGAAAATTGAAGAAACTCTAGGAGATTATGACTACTAAATATAATATACTCCTGGATGGAATTCTGGGGTTAAAAAATAACAGGTTTAAAAACTAAGGTATCCTGGACTCTGGACCAAATATGTTTAATAATCATATATTTTGGTTCATGAGTTGTAATCAAGGTACCAGCACATCCAACATCCTTTTCCCTCCCCTCTTTTTCTTCTCCCATCCCCTGCCCTCCTCCTTTCCTCAGTTCTCATTTTTCCTACTCCCACTCCCCTATCTTCTGCTCTGCCTCACAGTTTGGAAGCAGATGCTCCTACTGGAAAACCAAGAGATGGAATAGCTCTGGCCAGAGACTATACATCTCTCCTACCAAATGCCTTAGATTACAGTTAATCACTTAAACCTAAAGGGAAGTCTTCCCTGTCTGAGAAGTCCATCCCTTCCCCCTGCTACGTGGTTTCCTTATGAACAATACATCCCATTCTAACCTTCACAACACTGTGCTATACCATTATTAATGCTACCTTCCATACTAGACAGTGTTTTGCCCAAGTACCTGCCATTATTTAAAGTCACAACAAGTATTCATCAAACAAAAATGAACAAAACTGGGGCTAGAGAAATGGCTCAGTGGTTAAGAGCACTTTCGTATCTTCCCAAGGACTCAAGTTCTGTTCCCAGCACCCACATCAGATGACCCACCTATAACTCTAGCTCTAGAAGATCAGATGCCCTCTTGTGGCCTCTGCAGGTACCTGCACACACATTTTTATAATCTCTATAAAATTCATTGTCTCTTTCATTGGTAACTACCCTCACTCTTGTACACTTCTCCATGAATTGTATTTATGCTTTGGAGATAAAAATAGCTCATGCTAGTTGCAATAATGAGAGATACAGACTAACTTGAAAACTAATGAGCTTGATTCTGATTCCTAGTTATAGTTCTTGGTTCAAGACAAGACAATGTTATGGGGTGCCAACATAGAGTACACAGACACAGTCTTTTGCCAATTGGGTTTTTGTTTTGTTCATGGGTTTTGTTTTGTTTGTTTTTCAAGACCGGTTTCTCCGTAACCCTGGCTGTCCCAGAACTCACTGTGTAGACCAGGCTAGCCTTGAACTCAGAAATCCACCTGCCTCTGCCTCCTGAATGCTGGGACTAAAGGCGTGCGCCACCACACCCGGCTAGAGAAAAGGAATTTTAAAGGTCAAAACAACATCATAGTATCTTGCTTGGCAGTTGCAGGGAATGTTTATTTTGCAAGCAATCAGATTAACCCAAGTTAAGATAAGCAGTTAGCTGAAGGGATGGGGTTTCTGCACAAACAAGTGGTTTAACAGAAACTAAAATAGGTTAGCTGGAGCATCTTGACCTCAGTTATGATAATTTTCAACAGGGCTTCCCAATCAAGGAGATCAAATTCTAGCCAAGTGTAAAATGCTCTTAGCAAGAATACAAGATGGAAGAACCTCCATACTTTCTTGTTCTGTCACAGCACCTGATAAAAGTTAAGCCAATAGGAAAGGAGGAAATATTTTGTAGGGCCTTGAAGCTTCTGAAACAGTCCTCTTAACCTCCATTTTCCTTCTCTCTATCTTCTCCCGATCTTTGAATGCAAACAAACAAGCAAGTAGTACGAGTTTACAACCATCTTGAGACTAGTAGGGAGCTGACACCACAGAATGTTGAGCAGAAACAAAGAAAGTAGGTCTTCAGTGATGATATTAAGCCACTAGCAAAGCAACCACCATGCCTTCTCTGAACTTGCAGCTATACAGGCCAGTACATGTCCTCATGATTTAGACACACTTGAGTAGATTTATATTACTTCACCAGTGTCCTGGCCCTCATGCCAAGAAGTCTCCTATTGTTGCAAGTCTTCCACTAATGCTTAATATTAGCTTGTAGTCGGTTTTTTTCACTCTTTGGAGGCCCACCACCCCAGCTCCCAAATAAATGCATGGAGACATATATTCTTATTTATGAATGCCGGGCCTTAGCTTAACTTGTTTCTAGACAACTTTTCTAACTTAAATTATCCCGTTTCTCTTTATGTAAGCTGCCCACTGCCTGCTCTTGCTGTGGACAGTAGTTCAACTCTGAACATTCATATGAGGGCTCACAACCACCTGTAACCCCAGTTCCAGGGGATCCTACACCCCTTTCTAGCCTCCAGAAGTAGGGCACACAAGTGGTACTGTTTTTAAATTTAACTTCTTTATTGGTTCTTTGAGAGTTTCAAATCATGCACCCCAATTCTGCTTACCCCCAGTTCCCCCATATCCTCCCCTCACCCCAGCAGTGTCCCCCACCAAAGAAAACAAAACAGTAAGCAAGAAAGCAAATAAAAATAAGAACAAAACAAACAAAAGCAAACCAAGACAAACAACAACAAATAAACCTCTTTGCTTCTCTTTCTTTCCTGCCTCTCCAACACTTCTTCTTTCATCCTGGTGGCACTGGGGGCTTTGATGTGTCACAAGATGTATACCCTTTTGTCCTATCAGCTTTACTTGCAAATGTTCATTGCAATGAGTCATGGGTCTGGTTCAATGGCTCTGGTTGCTGGTACAACCTCTGGTTGCTGGATCCTCACTGAAAGTCCTCTGGGATACCCTGTGGAGATCTTGTGGGTGTTGTTCTGCAGCACCAGTCGCTTCATGGGCTCCAGCAGGTCCTAGATGGGATAGATGTTAGGGTGGGCCAACCCAAGGTCTGGCTGTGGGCCTGAGTGATAGCTGAGTTGGTCAGTCCTGTCTCCTGGGGCCTCCTGCCTCAGGCAAGGGTAGATTCAGCTCCCCTACATCCATGTCCTCAGAGTCGGTTCACCCTCACCTGTGCTGAGGGTTGGAGCCATCTCTCTTGAGTGCAGGGTCCAGCTCTGTTGCTCTAGTGTCCAGCGAGGGGCAAGGCCAGTTTTCCCAGGGTCAACGAAGGGTCCGGACAGCTCAGCATGGCCCTCTGATTTTATCTAACATGGTTCCTAAGGTCCCCTGAGGTGACATGGGCCACAGACATGAACACAGACCCCAGCTTCAGCTGGACATGGCCCTCGGTAGCAGTTTGGGACTGGACGACATCTGGGTGCTAGGTGGAACCAATGGCCACTCAGGTTGATATAATTCTGGCAGTCACATGGCTTTTGTACACCATCCTGTCCTCAGGCTGTGGCCGCAACCCTGGGCTGCTATGTAACATTTGGTGGCAATACAAAGACTCAGAATTCAACACAGACCCCAGTCATGGTAAGCTCACGGACCCAGACATGGTCCGAGGCAGCAGCTGGGTCTGCATGTCACCACTGCTCCAGGTGGGAGTGCAGGCCACTCAGATTAGCACAGGACTGAGTGGCAGTATGGCCCTGAGACACTAGCTTGGCCCTTGATCGTGGGTGTCTGCATGGCCTTTGATAGTAACAGGAGCATCAGACATCAGCACAGACCCTGGCTACATCAGTGCTGTGGACCTAGACATGGCTCTTAGCTGTAGCTCTGACCAGGACATTACC